TAACTACATAGCTTGGTCGAATTCAGCCGCTGTCTGCAGAATACTTCTAGCGGCCGGCTGCTATTATTTGTAGTTTCCGTAGTTTCTGCGACCAATACTAGGAGAAAGCCGGAACGGTACAATTACAAACGATCCACGGACAGAGCGCGATCTTCTCTTCCTCTCCCTGGTCCTATCCCCATCCCTTACTTACCTCTACATGCATTACACTAATACACTTGCTAGGGGACCAGTCGGCGGCGGAGATACCTGGATGGCAAAAAAAAGCCACAAGCCGACGTGCAAGTCGGGATCGAAGTTCACCACCCCCCAAGGGCGGCTGGACCACATCCAATTATTGTGATAAAACATGCACTACACTTACGGTACTAATGAGCATATTCATTAACGCGCCCGTAAACACTATATACAATCAATCAATTGAGCGAGAGATGTGTCCGCTGATGCAAAACCGTCGTAGAAGAGCGAGATGTGCTTTGTCGTAGGCGGAGGTGCTCGAGGAGTCGCAGCGGCACGGCGACCTGTTGGTGGAGGACTTCACGGACGCGTACCACAACCTGACGCTCAAGACGCTGTTCCTGCTCAAGTGGGCGGTGCGCGAGTGCCCGTCGGCGACGTTCGTGCTCAAGACGGACGACGACATGCTCATCAACACGCGCGGCCTGGTGCGCGCGCTGCCGCGCTGGGTGGCGCAGGCGCGGGGGCGGGGCGGCGGCGCCGACGTCATCACCGACGTCATTCCCGACGTCATCCCCAAAGAACCTTCGCCGCTCATCTTCGGGTCCCTCCACCGCCGAGAGCTTCCATTTAGGGAATTCGGAATGAAGTGGTGCGTTGAACTGGAGGGCTCCCAGAGGTCTTTACTTGTTATACTGGTATTAATAAATCTGTTGCCAACTTAAAATTTCCTTCAGCAGATTTTCTTCAGTCCCTCGTCACAAAAGGTGTCGCAGCGTCTCGGGCTGCTTTTAAATAAATCGTACAGTTCTTTCAATTCAAAACCAATTGATTCTTCAGGTTTTCAACAAAGAGTTACGTAATATTTAGCGCAACTCAACGACAAAGTGCAATTAACGCAGTTCGTTAGAAGCAGTCCCTCGGAAATAACACTCGACCACCACGTCGACTTATTATCTTTATTTGAACATATAAATATTAAATATTTCAATTGTAATTGGTCCCGCCTGCGAGTTAATTGAAAAATTTAAAATGTGGAGCACTTGATGGGGGTTGAAGTGACAAGATATCTGATATGAGAATTCAAGGACAATTAGACTATTCTATATTTTCGTATACTACTTATGCAGTATACAGTATGAAGTTTTGTAATTTTCAACGAAAAAACGT